CTGCCGCTGCTGCTGCTGCTGCTACTACTACTACTACTACTATTACTTCTATAACTAATATATACTACTGCTACCACAACAACAACGACAACTAATGATATTATTACTACTAATAACATTACTACTAATTACTACTAATACTACAAATAACAACAACAACAACACAATAATAATAATAATAATAATAGTGGTGATGATGATGATGATGATGATTAGAAGAAGAAGAAAATTCATTAGGTACAATGTAAGAATAACATTGTCTAATTTAGAGCCAGGCATAATGGCAGTGGGTTCGACTTTTTTTTCAACATTGTACCTTCTTGTATTTCAAAACATGGCCTCATCTGCTTGAAAACATTTAGCTGTCCATTTGGCAATTAGAATAATTATCTTTTGTTGCTATTTCCAATATTATTATTTATTATTATTATTTATTATTATTATTACCATTATTATTGTCATTACCAATATCATCATCATTTGTGTTTCAATAATTACAAATGACATTCTGATAAAAATGTAAAAGAGTTGATTACTTAATAATTATGATTCCATTTTTGATTTTTTAGGATTTGTAATATGAATGTGAGTTAACATAAATATATATAAAATATTTAAAATATGCTTTCTTTTTTACAATTGTCACTGGCGATCATTACAAGAAAACCATATTTTCTTTTCGATTTCCAGATCATTTCTTTTCATTGATATCATTTCTTTTATTTCTTTGTTTTGATTTGATGAAATGAAAAATGTCAAATGTCAAATTATCATTATTATTATACACACACTCGCTACACGTGCACGTGCACACACACTCCCTCACACGCACACGCAGCAGCCAAGATGCGGCCGTTGAAGCGACCACACAAGGAGACGAGGGACCGATTGAGGTTGATGACGTCATCCGGTTCAGCCCCTGCTGCCGTCGAGGAAAAACTCAAAATATTAAGTGAGTGAGAGAACGAATAGGGGAATGAATGAATAAATAAAATGAACGAACGAACGAACGACGAACGAACGACGAACGAATGAACGAACGAATGAACGAACGAATGAATGAATGAATGAAAGAATGAATGAATGAATGAAATGAAAGAATGAAAAGAAAGAATGAATGAATGAATGGACGAATGATGGATAGATAGATGATAAAAGGAGTGAATGAATGTTCTTAGCACGACACGATATGATAAGGTGACTTTTTGCACATGTAACCTTCATCATCGTCGTCGTCATCTTCACTATGTTTGAATGCGTGTGCGTGTATGTACGTACGTACGTACGTACGTGTTTATGTATGTATGTATGTATGTGTGCGTGTGTGTGTGTGTATCTGTTGGTCATACAACTAAGTGTAATTGAATTTCTAAGTTCCAGCACATTAATAATATTTTTACCTTTTTTTTTCAATCACATCGTCATCATTTTCGTGAACTTCTTCTTCGCCGTCACCATCATCAGCATCATAATCATCATCCCTATCATCTTCAACATCTCGACTAACATGTGAGAATGGTTTTACCTGCCATTGAACCGGTGACAAGCGAGTAACGCAACTTTCACTGCAGACTTTTCTCATCACAAAAAAATAGAGTGAAGGCTGTTGACAAATTTACATTTTAAACACAACACCCCGTCTTACAGACGCAAGTTGAGTACATTGTGTTAGGTTAGATGCATGTTTGTGTGTGTGTGTGTGGCGTGTGTTTATGTGTGTGTGTGAGTGAGTGTGTGTATGCTGGTACATTCGAAAATGCACTGGCGATTAAAATTTACCATTTTTGATGTATATCTAATGGAATCATTGAAAAAAATCAATAGATCACTTTGAACGTGTGTATTTAAATATTTCGTATAATGTATTTCATGGCGGGTACTGGCAATGTATAGCTGGGTATTTTTACCTGTATTTGCAAAGTATATGTTGTATTTTGGTATTTTCAGTGCTTTTTAGGTGCAAATTAAATGCAGTTTCACTTATTTTAAAAATCAAGTAGAAATTTCAAATAATTTGGGGAGTTGAAAAGGTGAAAATGGAATGTGAAACTTTAAAAATTTTTATACCTGTGATGATGATAATAAAATGTTGTCAATCAAATGCCAGAGTATAATGATTATTTGGATTTCAGTTGAGTTATTTGACATCAGTAGCATAGTAGAAGTAAGTTGATGACACCAACACAAACAACAACATAAACATCAACACAAACAAACAGCACCAACAAACAACACAAACAACAACACAAACAACAACACAAACAAATAACACAAACAAACAACACAAACAACAACACAAACAAATGATCCAAACAACAACACAAACAAACAACACAAACAATAACAACACAAACACAAACAACAACACTAACAATCAACAAACAAACAAACAACAATGCAAAGAACGGTGCAAGTCACAGAAATGCATTCATTGTTTTGAAAACAACACGGATGATAATTTAAATGGGCAGTCTATATAATAGAAGACATAAAAATAGAAATAATATGATTATAACAGCAATAACAACAACAATAACAATAATAACAACAACAACAACAACAATAACATCAACAATAACAACTAAAACAACAACAACTACAACATCGACAACTACAACAACAACAACTACTACTACAATAATAACAACAACAATAACAACAACAATGACAATAATAATAGCGTTGTCAAAGACTTGACATGAAAATTGAAATGAATGATTTTTGTAAAGTAAAAAAGGAACGGTAACATCAAGATTATTATTATTATTGTTGTTGTTGCTGTTATTATTATTATTATTATTACGGTATGGCAGGCTGGTAGTCATTATTTGAATGGCTATTACGTATGACACTGATAGGAATGTTGACTACAACTGTAACATTGCCCATGATGATGACAATGATGAAGAAGAAGACGACGACGACGATGAAGAGGAAGAAAATGATGAAGAAGAAGATGATGATGAAGAAGAAGAAGATGATGATGAAGAAGAAGAAGAAGATGATGATGATGACATCGTCGGGTGCGGAAAGAGATGATGAAAGGGAGGCTGATAGATCCATGTTGGTAGGAAGTGCATGGAAATGAACTGAACGCTTGTATGCACAACTGAAATATCTCCACTGTACATACTAAAGTATGTTCTGCTGCTTGTAAGTTAAGGTTGGATCGCTTTTCAGCGCTACTAATGACTGCATAGACTGACTGACTGACTGTGTTGAGGTTGTGTTTTAATTTACATAAATACGAAGCGAAACGAAACGAACTTTTATTTGCTTCTCAAAATAACAATTAAAAAGGCAGAATGATTGTGATCGAGCTCATGATGAGCTCATCTTGCACAGCCACCTTGCTACAGATAAAACCACAAATTTCATAACATTTAGAAAAAGTGTCTTCAGTTAGCGTAATTAGAAATCAGATTCTATACATACCTATACGTACACACACACACACACACACACACACACACACACACACACACACACACACACAAGCACACTCACACAAACACACACACATACACACACACATACATACATACACGTACACACACACATAACACATAACACATATTCAATACCTACTTACGTACATTTACACAGGTTGGGTACTTAAATTTTGTAGCACTTCACTCGTCACGTCCTGACTCTCTGTTCCAAGAATGTTCAGTCTCTTTGGGTTCCTCTTTGCATATCAGATTTTATCATCTTTTTGCTTGCATGTGTGTATATATGTATGTTTGTTTGTATATTTGTTGGTTTGTATGTATGCATGTTTGTTTTTTTGTATGTATTTATGTCTATTAGTTTATTTGTTTGGTTACATGTTTGTTTGCTTGTTTTATATTGTTTATTATGTAAGTTTTTGACCCTGGTCTTTTATCAGGAGAATATTTTTTTGTTTCTTTATTATTTGTATTTTTTACTTTAAAATATTTTATTTATTCGAGAAAAATTTTATTTAATTTTAAGATTTTATAAAAAAATCATTTTAAAATAAAATAACATGAAAAGAAGCTTTCCGAGAATTATTTTTCTGAAGTTTAATTGTATTTACAGCAGAGATTAGTTACCTTGTGAAATGATGCGCGCGCACGCACACACACACTCACTCACACACATATAAACTCATACATAAATACATACACATACTATATACGCGTATTTGTGTGTGTTTGTATGTATGTGTGTGTGTGTGTGTGTGGTGTGTGTGTGTGTGTGTGTGTGTGTTTAAGTTGAATAGTAATGGTATAAGTGAATTTAATGAAGACATTTTATGGGCAAGATTCCTGGTGACTATAAGTATGTGTGTGTGCTTGAAGCAACAGTCTGTTGGAAGATGATTGCATGTATGTATGCATGTATACATGTTTGTATATATGTTTGTATGTTTGTTTGTATGTATGTTGGGTTTGTTGCATGTTGTATCAAATCATATTCCTTTTATTTAATAATCTCAAATAATTTATAATGTATAATTAAATGTATAATTCAATTTATGTATGTATATATGTGTGTGTATGTTTTTATATATGTGTGTATATGTGTATATGTAGATATATATGTTTGTTTGTTTGTATGTGTCTAGTGTGCGTATACAAACACTTCATCATTAGCGCTTAGTGGTTGCAAAGAATATATTAATGTTGATTTATCTGTGCAGTTTTTTTTTCTACGTCATGTGAAACAACCCTCAACCCCCCCTCAAACAGGACTGGCACGTTTGATCATACTTCCTCCAGTCGCTCTTCTCCTTTCTTACTTTCTTTCAATCTATTTTTTGCTCCTTTCTTCCCTCTTTTTTAACTCTCTTTCTATCTTTTTACATTTTTTTTATTTCTCTTATTTTATGCTGTCTTTAAGGCTTAGTAAAACGTACTTTACTGTACTTTACTGTAATGTCGCCCTGACGGCTGCTACATGCGCGCTTGTCGCTTTTATACGCTTGTGTGTATGTGTGTGTGTGTGTGTACGTGTGGATGTGTGTAGGTTTGTTAATGTATACTTGTGTGTGTGTGTGTGTGTGTGTGTGTGTGTGTGTGTGTGTGTGTGTGTGTGTGTGTGTGTGTGTGTGTGACAAATTCATCATCATTGCAATTATCCTCACCGCAGCCAAAGTTTTATCACAACCATCGTCATCATCAGCAACATCATCACTATCATCATCATCATCATTACCATCATCACCATCATCATCGTCGTCATCATCATCATCATCATCGCGACAAACAGCCGCCTACGTGTTCAGAGACGCTACAAACGAAGAGCGCTTACTAGCTTACCTCTTCCAAGACTACGAGCCGATAGCTAGAGCGGTAGTCGACAACGAAAAAGCTGTTGTAGTTGATGTTAGCTTCGTTCTACTAAGAATACATGGATTGGTTAGTGTTGTTGTTGTTGTTGTTGCTATAGTTTTTTTTAATGTTGTGATAAGTTGTTGGTTTGTTGTCGTCTGCATAACTATCGTCATCATCTTCCTCATCATCTTCCTCATCATCTTCCTCATCATCATCTTTCTTCCTCAAATCGTTTACTTGAAAGGCAAAGATGATGACGACGACGACGACAATGATTATGATGTCGATAGTAATGATAATGGTTGTTACGTAACGAATTTTATTCTCCAAATTGGCAACTACTTAGCTCGCCCGGTTAACAAGGTGTTTGTGTATAATAAATAGCAATAAAAAAGTGTAGTTGTGGAAGCCGCTGCTCTGGTTGTTGTTGTCGTTGTTGCTGTTGCTGCTAAAGCTCTTCTTTTCGTTGTTGTGTTTCAATGATACCGTTTAAAAATTGCCGAAAAATTGTGGTCGATGGACATAGAATGAATAATGTTTATGGGCATCTCATATGTTTTCAACAACCTCCAATCAACAAAAATTATAAACACCATAAAAATAAACATTACAGACTAAAACTACCACAAGAACACACATCCACACACACACACACACACACACACACATATATAAATAAATATATACTCATATAAACTCACACATATACGCACGTACACTCGCACACAAGCATTAACAAAAATTGTCAACAAAGTTTCAACAGTAAAATGCTTTCTAGCAAATCAACTCCGCATTATAGATCGGTCTCTAATACATTGATTGATAGCGAAACTTTAATTAGCAGCTGTAAAATAAGAAAAAAAAGAGACGGGGTAAAATTTGGCGGAAAAAAATTGGCGGGAAAATAAATTCAGAAGAAAAAGAAAATAAAGAGAATGACAATGATGACTGGTGATATGCAATAAACAATATGTCTTAATCAGTGACGTGACGAGGCATGCCACCGCACCACCTACATTCTTCATAACTGTTTCCCCTCTTTCTTTTACACTCTTCTTCTCTTTTTCTCTTTGTCTCTCTCTTTTTTCTGTTTTCTCTCTTTCTGTTTGCTTGTTCTATTGTTTCTATTTCTCGCACTTTCTTTTTCACTTTTTTATGTATTCAGGTCCACAAAACCCACTGTTGTTTGTTCCGTGCCTTGTGTTTGTCTGCATTTGTGTGTGTGTGTTAATATGTGCGTTTGAATGCACGTGTATGTATGTATATGTGTATGTGTGTCTGTGCGTGTATATGTGACTGTGAGTGTGTGTGTATGTGTGTGTGTATGTTTGTGTGTTGTGTGTGTGTGACTGTGTGTGTGTGTTTGTGTGTGTGTGTGTGTAACATATGCACTAGTAAACATGTAAATGTTAACATTAATTTTAATGTACGCTGCTGAAAGTATGTATATGAATCCTTTCCATGCGCGGTGTTCATATTTATGTACGCTACTTTATGTGTACGGGCTATACAGTTTATGTATACGTGGTTAGTGCTCCGTCCTGCCAACATCCATCTTTCGGGCTGTTTAATTTTTAAATGGATGAATTGTTCATTTTCCGCTTGTGTGGCTGGTCATCATCTTCGGTGGATTCGTATAAATGGAAGATGTTTATGTTGTTGTTTATGTTGATCTTTATGTAGAACGTATTCATTTGCGAGTATTATATTGCTGAGTTAATATTTTTCGCATTTTACTTTTAATTATATCTTGATTTTGCAAAAAACAATGCAAATATTTGCACGCATTCGAACCAGGACACGATGCAAAGTCTGCAACCTCATACGTTATACGTTGACGGCGCTTCTGTCGTCTGAGCTATCCCACCCTCATATATTAACAGATTTTATGTTTAGGCACAATTTTTTGTGCACGCATAGAGCACATATTTGTGTGTACAACTTCGTGTGTGTACCTATTTGTGTGTACAACTTCGTTTGGATAGAAGTGTGTGTGCGTGTGTGTGTGTCTGTGTTTGTGTGTGTGTCTGTGTGTGCTACTTGTTAGTCTTGCGGCTCTTGATTTTTAATGGAGAGGCAATAATTTGTCGGCCTGGTGTTGAATTACGTTCTTCACTTCTTTTAATGTTCTTGCACTGTTCACTTCAACATGTTTATGTGTGTATGTGTGTGTGCGTGCGTGTGTGTGTGCGTGTGACTAAGATTAAATAAATTTAGGTATTGATGAATAATAATGCCCACTTGTTGGGAATTTGGACAGTGCAAATAAAAGCGAATGAGCGTTGTACGATTTGATTGGTGGGTAGTAATAATTACCTGTAGTAATCTCTCTTTTTATCTTTATTTTATTTTATTTTTACTCTTATTTTCATTTTTGCTTTTACTTGGAATTTCAATTTTTCAGAGTTGGCGTTTCAAAGATTTCAATTCTCAGAGGGAATGATTTGATTTTGAATTCGTTCGACTGATTAAAACAAAAGAATATAAAACCAAGAAGCTTCTTCTATGAAAAAAATTAAATTAATTTTTTTCATTTATGGCTCATGTTGGTTGGGCGGCGTGATGGCTCAATGGTTAAAGGCGCCTGGTCATGCTGCTGCAGTGACTGGGTTCGAGTGCGCAAAGAGATCATATGCAATGTGTATGATGCGTGGTTTTCACGCGTATTCATATACGCTGTGTATGTTTGTCGTTAAAACCTCTGAAGCAAGCGCAAAAGAAAAAGTAACCTTTAACCTTTACATTAATTTATTTAATAATTAATTTAGACATTTAAATATTTTATTTATTTACGAAAATCTGAAAGTTGAAAAATGTTGTGCTCTTACAGGAAGAGAGGAATCAAGTGTTGACAACGACCGGGCTCATTATAGCGGTAAAAAATTTATTCACTATTTCACTCATACATAATTCAACTCCATCTCATATCAAAGAAAAATTTCTGTATTTAATTTCTCTCTCTCCCCTCTCTCTCTCTCTCCCTCTCTCTCTCCTCTCTCTTTCTCTCTCTCTCTTTCTCTCTTACATCATTCATTCGTTTTCATTTTTAATTAAGCTATTAACGCCAGTACTACTGATAATAAATTTTGCACGCTCGAAAAATTACTCAAATTTTTACCTACTATTTGAATGCTTAACACACACACACACACACACACACGCACACACACACACGCACATACATACATACACACACAGATACTTATACGCACACAAAGGTACACACACACGTATGAACAAATATTAATAAGCAGACGGATGCAAAACGTGTACATAAACTTTGGCTTGTTTACGGCTCCAAAAGGAACGTCCATGCAAAGGACTGCTCTCTCTTATTATTTTTCCAAAGAGGATTTTATTTATCAAAGAAAGTTGCTGTAATTGAAGAAGACACACACACAAACACACACACGGAGAGAGAGAGAGAGAGAGAAACGAACATGTACACACGCATATATGTAGCAACATTTGTTCTATTTATACCAAAGAAGTTAATTAATTTGAACATGCAAACGTCCAGCCTTTGAATTTTTAAAATTTAAATTAATCAAGTTTTATGTAATTTAAGATTTTCTGGATTATAAAAAGTTTTTTTAGGAATATGATTTTTTTTCTATAAAGTGTTTTTCGCGTGATGTTGGCAACGCGTCGTCCAATTTGTTTTAGGGATCCATTTTGTGTGGACGGACATGCGCTTTCGACGATTTAATATTTCATGACTGGCCGGCACTGACCGATGGACACTTTCAAAGAATTCACAGAAAAAAATGAAGAGAAAAATGCGCACGGCATTTAGAAAACTTGTGAAATAAAAATTGCTCACGAAGTTCGGGAAAAAATTTGAGATTCTATCTGCAACTGGCGAGAAATTGTTTTTTTTATTTATTTTAATTGAGATTTGTCAAAACTATAACCAAATAGAAACTAAAAATTTAAGAAAAATGATGTGCCAATGCGTTCGTTGCATAGGTGTTCATGTAAATATGTGTGTGTGTGTGTGTCTGTGTGTGTGCGTGTGTGTATGTATGTTCCCGGTACGTGCAAATGACATAAATAACCAAACTTAAAAAACAACACCACAGATTGCAAAATTTTTCTCTGGGTTCACCGGGGTCAAATGTCAAGCAGCTTTTTTCGGCGTGTATAAGAATGTATTTGTAGATTACTAACACACGTTCGTGTATGATTTAAAAACGTCTGTGTACAATCAAATACGTCTGTGTACAGTCAAATACGTCTGTGTACAGTCCAATACGTCTGTGTACAGTCAAATACGTCTGTGTACATTCAAACACGTACATACTTTTGCGTGTTTGTGTGTGTGCGGTGTGTGTGTTTGCTTGAAATTTGTTCTTAATTTGTTTCCAAAAACGTGCTGATAAAGAACAACTATTAAATTTCACAAATTAACGTGAATAACTTAAATCTATCAACCAGCTGTTTAAACCCTCAAGGCTAATCTGAATAAGCATCAAATTCGAACAAGAAAAATTAATCTCCCATGATATAACTCACAAACGATGCGAAAGCATTATAATAAAGCAAAATGACAAATAAGATAGCCCATCACTCTGACGTCACTATGGAAACGATGAATTGCTTTTGCCATTTTATCGGCGTTACTATAACGTCACGTAATTGACATTCTTCCGTCTCTTAATTATCATTCATTCGTCCGCTGCCAACTTTTAACTTGAGGTAATCCAATTTATTCAACGACTTTCAATCTCAGATCCTCACATCACCATTTTAAATGTTTTAAATGATATCTACCTCGTTCTTACTACTACTTACAACACATTCGCGACACATATACAATACAGTTTACATACACATCATCATTACGTCATCAATTTACGTTCGTGACGTCACAAAAACAGGAATGGACTGACGAACGTTTGACGTGGAAACCGGAAAAGTTCGGAGGTGTCCAGGACATCATCCTCAAATCCGAGATGATATGGTTGCCAGAACTTGCCGTGATGAACGGGTGGGTGGGTTGCCATCGTGTTTTATCGTGTGTGTGTGTGTTTGTATGTGTGTGTGCGTGTGTGTTTGTATGCGTGCGTGAAATTTGTGATGATTTTGAAGGGTCAGTGAGACAAAATATCTATACACGAGTAAGATTTTATGGGTAGATATAGACATATAAATCAAGAGAGAGAGAGAGAGAGAGAGAGAGAGAGAGAGAGAGAGAGAGAGAGAGAGAGAGAAAGAAGTAATTGAATTGATAACGCAAAAGAGAAAGAGAGAGAGGAAGAAAATTGAGAGAGATCAAAGCTTAAAAACAAATCCTGTTTTAATACCAGTAAACTTCCCGCTGGAAATTATCTCCGAAGGAATCTCCACCATGATGCCACACGGATCGGGATTGGGATAAAGATTTAGCGCTTGGACAATTTTATTACTCACACACGTTTTTTTGTTCTATATATCACTCGCAAGCATAGATATAAATAAATTGCTTTTAAATATCCGAGATTAGGAGTTCTATGCTGGGAAAGCATGTTTTTGTTGATGCTGCTGTTGTTGTTGATGATGACGTTGTTGTTGTTAATGTTGTGGTTGACGTTGTTGTTGTTGTTAGTGTTGTTGTTAGTGTTATAACAGAGGAGTACGAATAGTGTTAATGTGGTTGACATCATATAAAACGTTCATGTCTTTGTTGTTGCAGTGTTGTTTTAAATGGTTGTTAATGTTGTCGTTGGTGATGTTGTTGCTGCTGTTGGGTTTCATTTTTTAATTTTTAGTTTTGGTTTTATTAACTATTTTCAATTAAACAACCAACCAACAAACAAACCAACAGACAAACAAACAGACAGACAAACAAACCAACCAACCAACAAACAAACATCGTAAATTAACAATTAATATAAACTTACGACATATACGCATTATGTAGGTAGGATGATTGTATTGTGTATTGTATGTGCTCGCACACACACACACACACACGCACACACACAAATACACATACACACGCACACACGCATATAGTTTCACACACATAAATATTCATAAACATCACACTCATACCGTAATACCCTGCGACAGTTTTAAAATTGCGTATTGATGAGACAGTGCTCAACTGACCCCAATAGAAAAAATATCTCAAAGTATAGAAAAACGTGTTTTACTTTTTGTATTTCTAGAAAAAAATGTATAATTTAACAAAAACATTATACATATCAATATGTGTACAGTTAATCTTAATGCTATGCAAACATGTTTCACGATTAAGTTTCACAGGTATGTTTGAATGGAGATGTGTGTTTGCATCTACACACACAGACACACGCACGCACACACACACACGTACACATATAAACACATACACGCACATGCACACGTGCATAACATACACACCTTCGTATATTTCCAATGCAATAATACGCCTGTAGCTGCAGAACTACAATTAATCATCTATTACAAAGTACCTTATGAACACAGGAGGAATTATTAAATTTTTGCTTTATTGATGGCTACTATGTTATTTACCATGTATGTTTCTCTTCATTATTTATTGTTTATGTGATTGAGATGAATTTTAAATGCATGAATGCATTGTGTTTGCTCGTGGAAGGAAAGGATATGTACAGTGCACACTCATTAGTATGCACGTACGTACGCACGTGTAAAACAATGTGTACGCCCGAATTCAAAACACAAACGCAGAGCTGAAGAGCTGATGCCAGATTTCGACCGGATCCGAATCCTGTTGAACCACACGGGGAAGTTGCACTGGGAGCCTGGCGGGATCTTCCGGACAACGTGTGACATCGATATCGCCTTCTTCCCGTTCGACGTTCAGACGTGTCCGATTCTCATCGGAGCATATTCGTACTATTCGAATCGCATGAACATCACTTCGACGCTCGATTATGTGGCCACTTATGATTTTCAAGTCAGTTGGTCGCCTGCTACAGCTAGGAGCAATATTTTCATTATATTTTTTAATCATTTATGTTGCTCTTTTGTTAATTTTTTGATAATTTTACGAGAAATATTGAATGAATTGCAAATTTTACGAGAAATTATCATCATGTGGCTAACATCGTCGTGTCGTCATCATTTTCGAGGCGCGTCAAATAGCCGACGTTCGTTCGTTTGTTCGTTGAAAGAAAATACGCTGAGATATAGAGTTTCAGTTGATGTGTATTATGCATCTATGTATGCGTACATTCCTGTCATAACTCTGTTTTTCATTTTAAGAGTTAAAAATTAAAACATTTTCATCTAATTATTTGTGTCTCGTCACTATCAATCATTACATGGCAGCATCAAACAAATTTTTGAAAATTTCCTCAAAAGGAGAATGGCGAATGGCAGGTTGAGAACACCAGTGCATCGTGGGCCATCACTATCCTCGATTGCTGCCCCGGAAACGGATATGCTCACGTACATTTCACCTTGACATTGAGGAGACGATGCAGGTTCGTTGAATGCACCACGCATTTTTTGGCACAACTATTCAGTTACGTAGGCGAGGGATAATAAACCGCAAATTTTTTTGACAAAAATTTGAAATATATTTATTGAATTAGTTCATTCAATCGTACAAGTCAATTACAGAAAGATGTTATGCAAGAAATTCTTCAAGTTTAAAAAACTCTCTAGAACAAATTGAAAAATAAATCACTAAATAAATTGAAGCATCTACCTTTCAAGATTCTACCTGATGAACATAGTCCTGCCATGCATAATGCTCTCCACGCTAATTATGATCGGATTCTTTCTGCCGCCAGAAGCAGGTGAGAAAATTTCTCTCGGCATCTCCGTCCTGTTGGCCTTCACAGTCTTCCTGCTCATGATTGCCGACAGCATCCCTAGGACATCACTTGCCATTCCGCTCATTGGTGGGGTGATTCGATGTTTGTTTGTTCGTTTATTTGTTAGGTCCTGGTGGGTTTCTAGTACATTTTTTCCTTTATCGTTTTTGAATTGCCTGTCTTAATTTGTTTATTCATTTGTATTCTGTGTTTTTATTTTTTGATAGTAATTTGTATATGATAAGAATTTTCTTTGAAACATCTCTTGAATTTCGTAATCAAACTCTAAAAATGAAAGTTTTTAATTACCCCCCCATCAAAACGGTAGTGGTCTACCTGATGACGACGATGACGTTGGGGACGATCTCGATCTGCATGACGGTCCTCGTGCTCAACGTTCACCATCGGGACCCCAAATCCACCAAGCTTCATCCCCTCATCAAATCCATATTCCTCATCCACGTTGCCAACTTAATCGGCGTTGAAACGGGCGCCAATCGAAACCTCAAAAATGAATTGGCGAAATGTAAAAAAGAGCAAGAGGCTTCAGATAACTGCAATGTTTTAAATAATTTAAACAAATCCAGCAAACAACTGAACAGCGTACGCGCCAACGTCTGCGATAAGAAATCATTAACGAAAGAAAATTTACTGGAAAACGTGCAGCTTCAGAGCACAAACTTGAAAAGACGGAAAAGTATACGCCCATTCACAAATCCCTCCTTTTGTATGGATAAACTGCAGCCCGCCACACAGGACCGATCGAAATATCTGAAACAGCGCATCAAAACTTCCAATATCATCGACCCGCTGAAGTACAGAATATCATTCCAAAGAGTGGACAAGGGCAGGCCAGTGCTGGACAACAAGCAAGAACTCATCTGGAAGAGAAGAATCTCCCTGCCTGAGAACAGTCGAACATCCGAATCGACAGAGAAGTTGAAGGAGAAAATATATGAAGGCGAGGTGTTCAGCGTCAACCTCTGCATGTCCAACTACAACGGTCGGATGAAGAGCGCCAACAACTGCACCAAGCAGTCGGTTCATAATTTCTCGCAGGAAGGCAGCCACCCTCGGACGGTTACTTCTCCACTACCTGCCATCCAACAACAATCTCTTTTCATCGAACCACACCAACCCGTCTTCAACTGCATGCAACTCAACAACACATCCACGAAAGCCACAGAGATTGAAAGAAATCAAACGAACATCTCTGAGCAGAAACAATTCGACAGAGACAAGTGCTACATTCGACAAATTGCCAAACAACATTTTCTAAACAAATTTCATTTCTACAACAAATTAAAAAATCAAAAAACCACGCAACAAAACGACCAACAAAAATTGGATGAAGCCAAATTCCTCGAAGAATCGAACTCCGTCGAAAATTCCAAACCTGCCGCAAACTCCATGACGAAAGACGAACTGAGGGACTTTGTAAAAGTATTGGACCGTATGTTCTTCTGGTTCATATGCATCCTTATGACCCTGACCTCAACCTTAATTCTCCTCTACCCCGTCTACATGGGCTCGTAAAAACAGGGTACATAACATTTACACCACGTAGCACACGACAGACACTCAACTTTCCATTGAATTCAACGATGAATAAATTAACTTTTTAACAATTAATCTCCATCTGTCATGTTTCGTTAATAAGTTAAATTGTTTTCCAGCAAGAAATGGAGCCATCTTTGATAATGCTGGACAAGTTTCTTCAAAGTTTCACGCATACACACAAGGCAAACTGAACAGTTGTCGATGTTTCACGTTAAGTCGCACTTGTATGTTGCTTATAAAATCGAGTCGACGCTACCAGATCTCTTCAAATACAAATCTGTATATTAACAACATTTCACACACACTTACACACACACACACACACACACAAACCACACACACACACAAACCACACACACACACACTACACACACACACAAACCACACACACACACAAACCACACATGCACAAACACACACAAACAAACATTTGTATACGCAGACATGTTAAAAAATATCTATTTTTTCAGTGATTGATAATGCGGGCATTGTATGTACGAGTGACATCATATATTTTTCTGTTGTGATGTATCAAAATAATATTTCAAGAACATAATACCGTTTCGTTACAAAGTATCGTATCGGTACACAATTTATTTCGTTTTAAATTTTAACGGTAATATAAAGATCTGATAAAAATATTATATATATGCAAAACGTTTGTGTGCGTGTGTATGTTTGTGTGTGTATGTCTGTTTGTGTGTGTTTGCGTGTGTGTGTGCGTATATATGTGTACACAATATCTGTAAAATCGCAGCTTCAATGTACACTAGTACATGAGTAATGAAGATAATTGCACAACTGTGATCTCTGGGATAAAAACTCTACATACATTCATTTAAAAACACGCACGCAGACACAAAAATAATATTGCCCGATAAAACTAACGTCTCATTTCACACACACACACACACACACACACACACACACACACACACACACACACACACATTGACATACACACACACATACACACAGGCAAATAAATTTATATACAAAAATTTATTAATTATACATGATAAATATGCGTACTAATAGCCGTAACAATAAAATGGAATAAAAACTGTCCGGGCGAAAATTATTTTAAAAAATAAGCGTATGTTTTGAAAAATAATTATCTATGAACAATATTCGATTTAAATAAATAACTTTTAAATACTGAAAAATATATTAAAACGCATTTAAATTAGCACACAAAACAAAAAAAAAACAAACAAAAATAATATGAGAAAATCAAATTATCATATCCTAAGGCACGATAATAAGCGTAAGATGACGATCGATCGATCAATCAGGAACTGGCAGAAGCCTGGTTCAATTCCTGTCTCATCCTATAGAATTTTGAATTCCTATCAGCCAACAAAACACTGGGACTATCGCATTCCACAACGCGTCCATCTTCCAAAACCAGGATTCTGCATGTGCGCGCGTGTATTGAATAGAAAGGGAATGGACATGAATGATGAAAAAATTATGCACCGGACGAGTTTTTTCCATGGTTGGTTCGGTTAGCAATAGAAGCGCTTGTGACATGCATGCACGTGTTCATAAGTGTATAGTGATATAATAACTGAGCGTTAAATGCATTGTGCTATGTAGAAGATAGACAGACAGATAGACAAACAGACAGACAGACAGTTAGATAGATAGACAGACAGACAGTTAGATAGATAGACAGACAATTAGATAAATAGATAGATAGATAGACAATTAGATAGATAGATAGATAGATAGACAGGTAGACAATGTATAATGTAGATAACTCCTAATAACACTTAACTATTCGAGGCGTGATGAAATTTATCAGGTACAAATTTGTTTAAAAATTCTAACAAATAACAAGAAGCCGAACTCCAAAAAGTGCACATAGCATTTTTTTGAAATCATGCGAGTGCGTGTCACAGAGCAGTAACGCAAATAACATCTTGTCGCAACTAAGAATAACAACATCTCACATGTTGCTACTGCCACTGCTACTACTACTACTACTACTACCACTACTACTACTACTACTACCACTACTACTACTACTACTACCACTTTTACTACTGCGGTTATTGTGGTGTTACTACGGCTGTTGTCGTTACCACCACCACCACCACCACTACTACTACCACTACTACTACTACTACTGCTACTACTACTACTACTACTACTACTACAACTACTACTACTGTTGTGGTTGTTACGAGCGTTTGATGAGAGTGAGCAATTAATAAAAAACTAAAGCGACTCTTTATTATGAATAAAGAACATTCATGCTAGTTATTTCCCGCCTAATCAGAGCGATAATGAAAGCAGTAAGTACCTCATAAGAGCCAACGTACTCGAGTGTATAATGATCGTGACTAACTTAATGAACGTTATCTTCCCAGCAACCATCCTACGCTCTATAAAAATAACTCTTTCATATTCATCGCCATTCACTTACTTGTCGCAATTTAGAACGTTGTCAGTACGGTGTGCCACTATTATTAGAGTTCCCTCTGCATGCGCCGATGACAAAGGCTCGTCTAATGTAGAAACCTCTGATGAATTAGTAGCCAGAGTAGTTTCTGTAGGGAGTTTAAACTCATGAGGTGAAAATTTTGAGATGGTGATGGATTGCTAAGCAATGTCTAAGCAATCTAGTCTATCAATTTGCCGTTACTTCATTTTATATTCCATCGTCAATTACTTTTCTTTTATTTCTCTTCTTATTATTTATTTTATTCTAACATATTTTATTTTTCATGTTTTATCATTTCTCTTCCTCACTTTTTGTATTTATTTTCTCACTTATTTGTTTAATTTTGTTTTACTGCCTTGCATGTTGTTACAGCTTTTGCGTCTGTCAGATCCTGATTTTTAAAGAATAATAATAAAAAAAAAATTTCTAAGCAATGGATTACAAACCTGTCTCGTGATTAGTTTTGTCTCGGGACGGTTTTTTATCCTTTTTGAATTTTTTCTCTATTAAATTCCGAATTCTCTCTTCGGTTTTGCTGTCGACAGATGCAGTCGACTCGTCTAAGATTAGTAGGAAGCTGTTTCTCAGCAGCGCCCGACACAAACACAACAGTTGCTTCTGTCCTAAGCTGGATAACAATAAAAATAATAATAAAATAATAATAATAATAAAGAATAGTAAAAATAATGAGAAATTATGGATGAAATGTACATTCACATTTGCTGTACGAAGGTGTGTTAAGATTGGGGAAAGAAATGTAGTTTTTAATGAAATAATAAAGAATAAATATCATTACCTAAATACATTGTCGTCGGTGAGGCATTCAAAATCCAGGCCACCCTTCAAATCTCTCACCATCTCACTCAATCCAGTACTCTCCAAATGCGTCCATATCTCTTCGTCCGTGTATGAATTGGTCGGGTCGAGATTGAAGCGGATTGATCCGGAAAATAATTGTGGATCCTGTGAATTCGTTAATTCATTCACTCATTCATACATTCATCTGCAAATCCATCCATCCATTCAACCAACTAACCAACCAATCCATCCATCACAAACCTGCGGAATAATTGTAATTTTTCTCCTCAACAACTTGATAGAGATAGCAGCTAAGTCGCTACCTGCAATGGTTACGAGACCCCCAGGCACCGGGTTCAAAACCCTCGTGAGACACATCAGAATCGATGACTTGCCAGACCCCGTTCTGCCAACTATGCCCAACTGATTTTGAAATTACGAATATCTTTTTTTTATCATTATTACTCCTTTTTTAATTAATAATGATAACAACAACAACAAAAACATACACAGCAAGCAACTGACCATTTGACCTTGAGGAAGGTGAAAGTTCAAATCCTTAAGAACAAGGTCACGACCCGAACCATATCCGGCCGACACGTTGGAGAAGCTTACCTCGCCATTTTGTGGCCAGTTGTCGTCGCGATGATGATGATGATTGTGATGATGACGACGATGATGACGATGTTTTTGTTCTGAATCTCCGTCGTTCATTATATCTGGCTGTTGTGAAGATTTAGGTGAGAACAAATAAACGAACGAACAAACGGACGGATGGATGGATGGATGGAGAGATGGATAGTAAGAAGGATCAATGAATGAATAATAAATGGATGGATTCACGAATGAACGATCGAAGAGCGAATGAATATATGACTGATGAATAATAATAAGTAATTTTTCAATAATAACAATAACAATAATAATGATAATAATAACAATAATAATAATAATAATAATAATATAATAAACCTCTTCGTCGATGTCGATATACTCTTTCAATCGCTCAACAGCCACAAGGTTGGTCTCGAGTTCGCAGGACATTGTGACGAGGGTATTCAGGTTCTGTATGATCTGTTCATCATCATCATCATCATCATTATTATTATTGCTATTATTATTATTATTATTATTATTATTATTATTATTATCATTGGTAGTAGAAGTACCAGCAGCAATAGCCACAGCGGCAGTGGTAGTAGCCGTAGTAGCAGTTGTGCGAACGAATGTAAATACATTTGCGAATAAATAATACAATGAGCGATAATAATAAAAATGATGATAAAATGATAGCACTCACATCTAGAGCATAGACAATGGACAGACCGACCACCCCAGAACTAAGATTTTCTCTCTGCAGAACGGCAAAAACCCCGACAAATCCGACCAACGTGTTGCCGATAAACTCGAGCCATAGGCCCAGCCATCTTGTAAAATTTGGTAAGAAAAATTGATTGTAACAATCAATCAATCACTGAATGTTCTTTCGTTCGTTCATTCGTTCATTCATTCATTCATTCATTCACTCATTCACTCACTCATTCATTCATTGGACAGTTTTAAAATAAGTGGAACCTTTGTGAAACTACGTAGAGGTAATGAATACTCTGCATCTTATCGATCTTACTGTACATGCCATTTATGAACTTGTCGCTAACACGAAATGCCCGAATTGTTGACAGACCTGATTAGTTGGTTGGTTGGATGGTTGGTTGGCTAGCCGATTTAATGATTGATTGGTTGGTTGACTGGCTAGTAGATAGATTGATAGACTGATTGGATGATAGATTGATGGACTAACTGATTGATTGATTAAGTGATTGATTGATTAATTAATTGATTGATTGAGTGATTGATTGATTGACTAATTGTTGTTTAATACATGCTTCATACACCGAATTTACACACATTTCATTACGAACTTTTCACAACAAATTTACTTGAAATAAATTTAAAAAACCAATGACGACGACGACAATAACGATGATGACGTCACGATGACGTAAAGTACAACCTTGTAGAGCCTCACTGAAATGAGAGAAGACATGCGACCGACTGTTCGACTCCAACCTTCGCAGATGTCTGGCCGTCACCACAAAATATTTCTACATCGTTATTATTTTCAATCGTGAAAAAAAAGAAGAAATTAAAAGTAAGAAAGTAAGCGAAGTAGAGAGAGATTTTGCGAGAGAGGGAGAGAGAGAAAAAGAAAAGAAGAAATTAAAAGTAAGAAAGTAAGCGAAGTAGAGAGAGATTTTGCGAGAGAGGGAGAGAGAAAAAAAGAAAAGAAGAAATTAAAAGTAAGAAAGTTGAAGTAGAGAGAGAGATAGAAAGAGGGAAAGAGAGAGAGAGAGAGAGAGAATAAGTAAGAAAGAGAAACAAAAGAAAGAGGGAGAGGGAGAGTAGAAAACAAACCTGTATCAAAATATACCCAACGAGTAAGATAGCAAAAGGAAGAAGGAAGAGCGGGATATTTACAACGATCACCAAGACACTTAAGGACGTCATTATTGCGATATTGAAGAACCCGGATATGGTGAAGGGCATGACGTAATCTAAGGTGGCGACGTCGCTGGTTGCCCTGTTTAATATGCGACCTTTCGGGGTGAGGTCAAAGAAGGGAAGCGGAGCACGAAGAAGTGATTGCAGGAAGGATGAGTAGAGTCTTTTAGAAACTCGGCAACAGGCCAGTGATGTGACGAACGATCGAATTAGAAGAGTGATTCCTGGTTAAAAATAACTCAACCAATTATTAGATTATTATCACACCAACACACGCACACACATAACACACACACGCACGCACACGCACACACACACACACACACAGCTTACCAAATAACAGACAAAGAGACGCATAAATGGCAATTCTTTGCTTGTTATTATCTTCAATATTTTCGTTCAGAGTTTGACTGCAATTAAAAAAATTATTCCTTACATCGTTGTTGTTGCTGTTGTTGTTAATGTCATCTTTACTGCCGTTGTTGGTGTTACTGACAATGCTAGTGTCATTAATGTTGCTATAACTGTTGTTGTTCGGGATGATGATGCGATTTTCGTCGTTGTTGACGTTACTTCCATTATTGCTGTTGATGCAACCAACACCACCGTCACGTGATGCAGAAGAAGAAGAAATGACGTCATCATCATCGCTCCACCTACTGAGCCAAATATTTGTGGACACCGATAGCACGTTGTTTAGCACGTAAAATGTAAACATTAGGGCTACCATCAACGGACCAATAGAATATAAATAGGTCAGGAACACTTTTGAACTGACCTAATTAAAATATTTTTAATTGATTTTTTAGTCATAATAATGAGGCATAATTATTATAGATGATAAATAAATAAGCAAATGAATGAACGAACGAATGAATGATTGAATGAATGAATGAATGAATGAACAAAAACCAACTTTGCCGATATTGATGATTTCTTTTTTAGAAACTCCCGCCACTTTTGGTCTGTTCATCTCACTACTCGAGTCTTCCACCATCATCTTGTCATCATCCTCACTCATCTTAACATCAACATCATCGTCATTAACATCAGCAGTGGCAGCTGTAGTAGCAGCATCAGCAGCAGTAGCAGCAACATCATCGGCCACATTAATCACATTATCAGCACTATTATCAACACTACCAATTTCCTCATCATCACAATCCACTTTATCATCATCATTGTTATCCCTATCGTCATCTTCATCATCTTCGTCGTCTTCACCGATGACGTCATTTGATAATTTTGATGACGTCAATTTGACGGTGTTCAGCAACAGTTCCTCCATTGATGCGTATGATCTTGTCGTCAATCTGTTATCACTTTGCAGCTGATAATAATAACAATAATAATAATAAAAAAAAATAATAATAACAATATAAATAATAATAATAAATAATATTAATGTGAACTCTTTTATTATTCAAAGAAAACCATTAAAATTAAAACAACCGAAATAAAATAGGTCAATAGAAATGTTAAAATTAGCTATGTATAAATCAAAAAATGATAAATTTATGATAAAATAATTATGAGTAGCCATCAATGTTAGTTAATCTAAAATAAGTACAATGATGATGGCTTGTATGAAAATAGGAGAGAGTTTATTCACGCAATGTTTCTATCGCAATACAAGCACACGATGACGATATTACGCTATCGATTAGGCTAGATCTAAAATTATAAGTCCAATTTATATCGATTAAAGACAACTTGAAAGGATTATAAAAACCTATAAGCGATATTTCAAAAGTTTTATTAATAGTAATAATAATAATAATAACAATATGTCATTTATATAGCGCTTGAAATCAGCTCTTTAAAAACACATTTTGTGCGCGTGTGAAAATAAACGCTATACACCACATTCACTTTAGAATTGTGTGTGCGTGTGTGTGTGTGCGTGTTTATGTGTGTGTGTGTTTGTGTGTGTGTGTGTCATATGAATATGAAACTATATAGAAACATACGTAAAAATTGTCATCGTCGTCGTCGTCTTCATCTTTCCGAACGCATTCGTAATTAATGTTCGTCCACGATTTAAAAATAGACTTGCATCTGCAATTATGATGATGATTATAACGATGATGGTCATGATAATGATGGCGCGATTTGTCGACTAGATTAACTGAGGCTGACGATGACGATGACGTCATTCGGATGTATGGAAGACTTAAGGCCTTTTTACGGCTGTCATCATAATCTTCGGTAACATTCTCTCTACTCGACTCTGTTATATGTAAATTATCACTTCATCATTACCATCATCATAATCATATTAATAATAATAATAACAATTATTATTATTATTATCATCGTCATCAGCAAAATCATCACCACAACCTGCATGCACTGAGCTCTTCTCGATCAACTCTAGCAATATCTTTTTATTATTATTATCGGCATCATTATTGCTATTGTTGTTGTGGTTATTATTATTATTGTTATTATTGTTATTTTTATTATTGTTGTTGTTATTATTGTTGTTGTTGTTGTTATTATTATTATTATTATTATTATTATTGTTATTATTGTTATTTTTATTATTGTTGTTGTTGTTGTTGTTGTTATTATTATTATTATTATTATTATTGTTATTATTGTTATTTTTATTATTGTTGTTGTTGTTGTTGTTGTTGTTGTTATTATTATTATTATTACTCAGATGACTAAGCGACCCGACAACAAGATCGTCGGTGGTGAAGATGATGACGTTGTTATCACCTGACATGATGACGACCTGGTCAAACTTCGATAGGAACGTCAAATGGTTGGTGGCTATGATTCGCGTCTGTTTTTTTGACGTGATGATGACGTAATTAACATCTGATGATGATGTAATTAAAGTGATGATCTGACTATGTGATGACGACATGATGACCAACCAGCCAACCAACCAGCCAACCAACCAGCCAACCAACCAACCAACCAACCAACCAACCAACCAACCAACCAGCCAACCAACCAGCCAACCAACCAGCCAACCAACCAACCAACCAACCAACCAACAAACCAATCAGCCAACGAACCTTATCTCTCAGCAATCCATGATCATTACTGAACAACTTGTCAAACAGATAACTAGCAACGTTATCGTCAACAGAGCTAAAAGGGTCATCGAACAAGCAAATGTCCATAACCTCTGCGTAGGCGGCGCGGGCCAAACTGACCCGCTGCTTCTGCCCACCACTTAGTGTTACGCCCTGTTCATTTTGATGGTGACGACGACGATGATGAAGATGATGACGACGGCGACGATGTAAATCATTATCATCATCATCGTCATCATCATAGTCATCATCATCGTCATCATCATGAACAACAATCACGTCATCATTATCACCAATAACATCATTATCATCATTATCCTCATCCCCATCATCATTACTATCACCTTATCTCCGACTTCAGTCAGATCGCCGGCGTTTAGCTTTTGAAGATCGGGCAGTAGGGCGCAGGCCTCCAAGGTCCGCTGGTACCTAGCAGAATCCATGCCACTCGTGAACAGTATGTTTTCCTGTGTTTGTTCGTGTGCGTGCGTGCGTGTGTGTGAAAAAGAGAGAAAGAGAGAGAGAGAGAAAGAAAGAGAAAGAGAGAGAGAGAGAAAGAGAAAGAGAGAGAGAAAGAGAGAGAAAGAAAGAAAGAGAGCAAGAGAGAGAGAAAGAGAGAGAGAAAGTGAGTTAGTAAGTGTAATACGGTGTTATCGTCATCATCACACGTGCTGATGCGAGAGATTTAGCATGATGTGATGTGACATGATGTGATGTGACATGATGTGATGAGAGTTAACATCATCGTCGTCATCAACATCGTCGCTACAAAGAAATGAAAACCTGAATGGTCATATTCTGCAGCCAGGGCTCTTGGCTAGAGTATGTAACTGCACCCTTACGTGTCGATTTAAATTCATCATCATCATCATCTTCTTCATCTTCACAATCATCACCACTATCACCATCATCTTCTCCTCATCATCATCATTATCATCATCATCATCATCACCAACATCATCGTCTTCTTCATCACTATCATCACCACCCTCATCATCTTCTTCATCACAATCATCACCACCATCATCATCTTCTTCATCACAATCATCACCACCATCATCATCTTCTTCATCACAATCATCACCACCATCATCTTCTTCATCATCTTAACCGTCGTGTAGATGCACCCACTAATGCACCTGACCTCCCCAATTAAACTCTGCAAAAAAGTCGACTTGCCAGCCCCAACAGCGCCGACTACGGCTACCAAACTACCTCTCTTTATCTTCAAATTCACCCTTCGGTGAATTATGAAATTAATAAATAATAAATCATAATTAAACTGTGTGTGTGCGTGTGCGTGTGGTGTGTGTGTACTGACTTGTTGAGAACAATCTTTTGACAGCCATTATCTTGAAGGTAAGCCACACTTGCATCATTCATTATCACAGAATCTTTTAAAAAATAATAAAAGTAATAATAATAATAATAATTAATAATAATTATTATTAATAATTAATAATAACAATATTGTTAATGATAATAAAATATAATTTCAAAAGAAAAAAGTTGAACAAAAAAAATTTTTCAAATTTTAAAACTGATTTAACATTCATAAGCGTTTTCAGCGTTATAATCGGGACAATTGCAGGGTTTATTATTATTATAATTGTTGTTGTTATTTTTGTTGTTATAGTTGTTGTCATTATTATTATTATTATTATTATTATGATGATGATGAAGATGATGACGATGATTGCTGTTTCTATTATCATCATCCAAAGATAAAAAATTCTGCAGCCTTTCCAGTGACACTCTCGCCTAAATAAATAATTAAAAATAAGAATAAATACAAAAAGATGAAAATGTTTATGAGGATTCGTATTTAAACAAAGATAGAAAAATCAACAACAACAACAACAACAACAACTACTACTACTACCACTACCACTACTACTACTACTACTACTACTACTACTACTACACAAAACATACATAAGCATGATTGACGAGAACAACATCTTCAGTGACGTCACAAAACAAAGAACTAACAACGGTGATGTTAGTAACGAAAATAGGCAGCATAGACAGAGGATTTCTGAGAATGTTGAACAGAGTCAAGGCAACGAATGCCTTCTCCGCGTTGAGAACGTTCTCTTCGGATGAGAGAACGTATACGGCGAAAGTTGTCAATGACACCTTTTAAAAGTGTGCGTGCGTGTGCGCGTGTGTGCATGTGTGTGTGTGTGTGTGAGCGTGCATGTGTGTGGGTGTGTGTGCATGTGAACGTGCATGTGTGTGTGTGCGTGTGTGTGTGAATGACAAAAATTATCTCCCCGAAAAGAGAGGAAGAACTGACCAGAAAGGGTGTACAGGTCCAAGCAAACGACGCAAGTGAAGCCAGATAGGCTGACCTTTTAATGACCTTGACTTCTTGAACTCTGACCTTTGTTATCTTCTCGGCAAATACATCCTCCCAGGCGTAGAGTTTTATCAGCTGGGGGAAATCGTTAGCATTTCATTTTTCATTTATTTAGATTTGTTTTAAATTTTTTGACGGTTATGATACCCCTGGTGATAATGACGACGACGACGATGACGCAACGATGACGTAATGATGACGCAATGAATATCGCGAGGAGGATGAAGATGAAGAAGATGACGAAGTGAAGTGCAACAGCGGTTAAGAAAGAGAGTAATAACTACCATAAACAACTAACCTTGATGCCGTTGATAACTTCATTCATCATTCTGATCCTGGCGTCCTTAAACTTCATCTGATCTATCTGAAACAACACATTAACCATAACAACAACAACAACAAACAAACGACAACAAACAACAACAAATGACAACATCAAGCAACAAAAACAAACAGCAACAAACAACAACAACAACAAACAACAGCAACAAACAACAACAACAGCTACCACAACCTGAAATCGTCTGCACATCTTTGCAACCAAGGCATTAACAGGTAACATCAGGATGACCATAGCGACGCCGGCCAGTACGGATGGTCCGACTAATTGCCACAGAAAGTAGACGGCCAGTCCTATTTGAATGGGGGCCGACCATAGATAGTTTAGCATAGATACGAGATCTACTAATTTCTGCGTGTCGACTGTTGCCAAGTTTAGGATTTCGCCGATTTCAATGTTGTTGTTGTTTTTGTTCTTTTTATTATTGTTGTTTTTGTTGGTGGTGTCGCTAGTGTGGCCACTGCTTAATTTCTGAAGCGACTGCGTATGTTTATGAATTAAGATAAACCAAAAGTAACCATCAACACCATCCATATCATATCAACGAAAATCATCATCTTCAGCACATCAGCATCAACACAATCATTATACACAATTGTCACAAACATTTTAATTCATATAGCGCCTGATTTCTAGATTCGAGGGTGTCTAAATTCCAATTTATATAGCGCCTGATTTCTAGATTCAAGGGAGTCTAAATTCCAATTTATATAGCGCCTGATTTCTACATTCACCTTCCCGCGAAAAAAACACGCGTAAAAGAACGCACCTTCGAGTCCTTATGCAATCACTAATACACCAACCAAAACAAAACAACAACATAAGGCACGAAACCTTCTCATAAATGGCAGAGTGGAGAGTAGAGTGCAACTTCAATCCTATGGTGGCATATAAGTGCATGTACCTATGGCGTAGAAGTGTCTGCGTGCACGCACATGTGTACAACAACATCACGTACAGGTAACATACGCCGTTGCTGTCGCTAGCGTTGTTGGTGTTGCTGACGTCATCGTCGTTCTTGTTGTTGATGACGTAGTGGTTGATGATGTCATTAGTGCTGTTGATGCTACTCAGGCTGTTGCTGCTCTTCTGAGGAGAATTATTTAGATGGGCCAGTAAGAGCCTGTCAACAAATGTGTGGCTTATGATTAAACATCAAACAAAACTAAACAAACACAAACAAACAAACAAACACAAACAAACAAACACAAACAAACAAGCAAACAAAAAAACAAACGCGAACAAACGAAAAACAATCAAACTCAACAAACCTTAGTAGGTAGGGTGTTGCAAACATGAGCAAGTCACTTATAACATTAAGCAATGCGCCATTTATAAACATTTTATAGAACATGCAAAACAAAATATTTGTTAACTTTATTTCAAAATTATTATTATTATTATTATTATTATTATTGCTAATATTGTTGTCGTTATTATTGTTACCGAGATCATTTGCAGTTATGACGTCATCGTGATTATTATTATTATTATTACGTTTATAATCATTTATATTATTTCCATCGCCATCCGGCAATCGACATTGTAGATGTCGTTGCTGATGATGTAGCAGAGGCAGGTCCTGTTGCTGCTGCTGCTGTAACCGCCGCTGCTGTGGTAACCACCGCCGCTGCTGTGGCCGCTGCTGCTGCTTCTCTCTCAACATTCGATACAGTTGATGTAATTTTTGGCTTGCGTGGTCATCATTGAGGGACCAGATGTCATCGCTATCTATGCTTTCTCTGTCCGCCGATACCAGAAATCTGCGTTCGTTTTGTTTTTTTTTCTTTGTAAACTTTTTGTTTCGCTTTCAAAGTGAGAATCAAAGTTTGTCAATCCTTTGAATTCATTTGTGTGTGTGTGTTTGTTTGTACGTGAGAGTGCGCGCGTACGTGCATGTACGTGTATATGTATGTGTGTGTGATGTATGCGCGTGTGTTTTTACCTTGTGAACCAACAAAACGTCAACAGAGAAACAAAGGAGGCCCTGGTCTCCGGCGACTTTCTCTGATGATTTCGAAAATAGAAAAAAAATTTTCACTCAATTTTGAATCAACAACAACAGCAACAACAACAGCAACAACAAAAATAACAACAACAACAACAACAGCAACAACAACAACAACACCTTTTCCAGAACTTTCGTCCTTTGCAGACCGTCTAGGAAACAAGTGTAGACAATTATTTGCGCGCTATTCAGTGCGAGAGCCATGAATAGCATGGAGCTGCTATTTTCGTTCATGAAGTGATGATGATGATGATGATGGGAAGGAGGAAGAAGATTAAGATGATGATTGTTATTATTATTATTATTAATATTGGACTGTTGATTTGCAGTTGGATTTTCACCTGACTGAAGTAAAAAAATTAAAAAAAAACTTTTCCAGACCTTTTCTATTTAAATATTTAAAATAATATGGACACACTATCAAAAAGTATATAGACAATATACATAAATATGTGTAAATGTATCTCTATGTGTGTGTCTGTACGTATATGTCTGTCTGGTATGTGCTTGCACGCACACACAGACACACACACACGCACACACACATACGCACACACACACGCACACACACACACACTCACACAAAAGACAGACACACACACACACAAAAACTTACACACACATAAATTAGAAAACAAATCTGACCTCATCTCTACTCCACATCAATCTCAAATTGACTTGCAAGAGGTATAGAACTACGATTTGGAAGAGAACCTTATAAATGGCTACCAGTGAGTTTCTCTTATAGCCATAGATGCAGTCATACAGCAGCAGCAACATTATAATAGCCTGATATATCAATAATAATAATGATATTTAACACAAATATAATAAAAATAAATCATAATTAGAGATATTAATTAGGTTTTTGTGATTTAATTTTGATAAATTTGAAAATAGATTCAGAAAAAAGCCATATATCGGACCTCAACAAATATAACATAGCAACCGGCGAACAAATGCAACGGACTCCTAACAATTCCATCTGAATATTCCTTCAGTCTAAAGTGAAAATCGACAAAAAATATCCCTAACAGAAGAAAGCTGAGTGTCTGAATAGGGAAAGATATAACAGAAAAAGTATATTGTAATTTGAAAAATGAATATAAAGGACTAAAATTTAAAAATGAATCATGATACATTTATTTGTGTGTGTGTGCGTGTGTGTGTATGTATGTGTATGTGTGATGGTGTGTGCGTTTGAATGTATGTGTGTGTATCTATTTTATAAATATTAATTACATAACATATTAAAATGGTAATACTGTTAATTTGAATAATAACGGAAGACTGACCAATTTTAAAATCTTCAACCTGACAAGAGTTAATGGACATCTCTTGGCAGGGTAAGTTAGGAAAACATAGATAGGGGTACAAATAACAAAAAATAAGCATAGAATTATAATTAAAAAATCTTCTTCGCATCCATTTAGGTTCCAAATACTTTCAATGCTGATGGGGACGGTAGTGGAGTTTGCAGTGGAGTCCTACCAAACATATAAAAAACATTTTTTATAAAATCACTTATTCATCCAACTAAAATAAGATAAGAAGATATTATCATATGAGAGCATAATGATGTGATATGACATTATTATATGATATCATATGATAGGCCATGATATGATAGGCCATGATATCATGGGCCATATACAATTTATATATGATGATACAAGTACATACATACATACATACATATCTCATCATACAACACCATACAATTACTTACACAATATGAATACATATGTATGTAGTTAGTTAGTGTTGTTAGTAGTATGTTAATTTAAAATAAATTAAATTTAAAATATCAACACTGGATGTTGATAAGTGATTTAAATTAAAATTAACTGACAAACTAAATTCTAACAAAATAATAATTAATTAGTTTTATTTTTATATAAAAAATTTAATAATGCCAATAATTAATAAATAATCAGTATAAAAAAAATACCATGATGAAAATGAAGGATTATTTTACTACATATTTTATTGTTTATCGATTTGAATTGAAGTTAGTTATAAAAAATAATATGGTAGCCAAGAAAATGAAATTTTTCCATATAAATTTTGTCCTAATTTTTATCTTAGTAGTTTCACTAAAGTGTAAAAATTCCCAAAGAGATAATGTTTATTTCTTAAAAGTTAACTTCTATTTTTAACACACACGTACACACACACGCACGTTAACCCTTGCTATGTTCAATTAGCTCAACTTACGAATTAATCCTTCCTATTTGTACGATTACGAAGAAAAAAGCAAGGAAAAAAAAATAAAACATCTAGCAAACAAAACAACAAATGTGTGTATGTATGTATGTGTGTGTGTGCATGTATGTGTGTGTAAACTCTATAAAATAAACGAATAAGTCTAGAAATAATAAATAACGAATACGTCTAGAAATAATAAACAACTTAACTAAAATGAGATAAAACGAATTTTAACTCTTCAACATCTATAGTTTCCCTGTGAACATGAGATTATGGGTCCTTCATGGGCAAATGATTTACCACATAGATTTTTTGTGATGTGTATAGGAAAGCCTATATTGGCTCCAGGCTCAATAAGGTTTGTGTCGGCTTTTCCAACTATATAAAATTCAAAATTTTGTTACATTTTTTTATTCCATTGTAATATTTAATAGACATTTTGAATAAAAATTCTAAATATAATGCTTTTTTTCAGTAAATAAAATGGAAAAGGTTTCTAAAAATTTTATTGGACACCCATCAGATTCAATTGACTCAATAAAGCTAGAGATTTTACTAGTTTCTGAGTTGACGCATTTAAAAAATTTATTATTTATAAATGTTGAATTTGAACTCTTTGTAATGTAAATGTAACTCTGTAAAAAATGTAACTTTGTGTAACTTCTTTGTAGACATTTTTTGTTAAAATTTAGCTCTACAAAATGCTCGCCTTATTAATATTCTTCCCAGCGCAATGATGTCGGTTTACTTTTTGGATTTCGTTAAACTAAAAAATTTCCTAACTTACTGGAATTTAAAACTAATTTAATTTAATTTAATTGACAAATTTGTTTGTGTTCAACAGCCATAAGCGAATTAGTGGATGATTTTAATTTTATACTTTTTATCGACTGATTATTAGTTATTATAATCATTAATAAAAATAAGTTTTTAGTAAGTAGTATAAGAAGGAGAGAAGGAGTCAGATTGAATTTTTTTTCCTAACTGCCCTCTACTTAATTTAGTAATGTTTATACTTTACCTGCACGAAATCTAAAATTAGTAACATCTTATCCATCAAAAAATATACATTGATATTTATAAAACTGATTGCAAGGTGTTTGAAATTTGACTTGTCAACTGCTCTCTGTTTTCAGTTCTGTGCCCTTGAATAAAGTAATAAAAAACTTAACAAAGTAAGTTTGAAAACATTTTTTTATTATAGAAACAAAACTTTATGAATAAAATTTTTTTCTTTTTAAGATTAAAATGTCTGAATCGTTTGATGAGAATAATGTGGAAGACCATTTAGTCATTGACGTCCAATGTTGTGGAGATGATACAGAAGAAAGAGCATCACAGTCCGCACCAGCAAACTCACACCCTGTTAGTTTGGGATTGCCTTTTACATTTTATATATGTAAACTTATATTTAATTGTCCTGATTCATCAGTTTTTAATTCAATTTTTTATGAAAACAACAGAAAACTAGACCAAATGCTGAATGTGAGCAAGATCAGAACAACGACATTGTTGGTATCCATCACAATTCCTCCTACATCTCACTAACCTCATCAGTAGACGTCTGCAGGATATGTCACTGCGAGGTCGACTCACAGCACCCCCTAATTTCACCTTGTGCCTGCTCGGGGACTCTCAAGTACGTTCACCAACACTGTTTGCAACAGTGGATCAAAAGTGCCAACACCAAATCGTGCGAGTTATGTAAATTAGAATTCAGGATGACAGCTACTGTTAAACCCTTTTGCAAAGTTTGTTTTGTTTTTTTGTTTCTTTCACTAAGCCTGTCTGCCTGTTCATTCTCTTATTTGTTGTTTGTATGCCTAATTTCAGTTCAGTATTGGGGTCAATTTTATATATAATATTATCGACATGATTTTTTTTACTTTTTTACTTTGAATAAACAGTTCCACATAGCTTAAATTTAATTTTAAAATTAATTTTCCCATTCCTTAACAACCAGTGGCAGACGCTAAACATGACAAAAGTAGAACGTCGTAAGGTCATATGCTCGGTGACATTTCACGTAATAGCCATCACCTGTGTGGTCTGGTCACTCTATGTGCTCATCGAGAGAACGTCGGAAGAGATTAAGGTGGGCAACCTGGAATGGCCTTTCTGGACTAAGCTAGTCGTAATTGGGATCGGGTTTACGGGTGGGATAGTCTTCATGTACATCCAGTGTCGCATGTACTCTCAGCTCTGTACCAGGTGGCGAGCTTACAATAGGGTCATCTACGTACAAAATTGCCCAGATAACGTCATAATTTCGGCCAATAGACGTAGAAATAATGGTAATAATAATAATATAAATAATAATATGAATAATAATAATAATAATGTTATTGGGGCCGATGAGGTTTTAGTACCTCTGTCTACATCGAGTAAAAGTAGTAAGAGGTCCGACTCACCTGAAGTTTCATTGTTATAATTGTATGTAATTGACATAAAATGATATATATCATACATTTATATCATATATATATATATATATATATTACTATTACCAATATATATATATATATATATGTGTGTGTGTGTGTGTATGGGTATGTATATATATTGATAAATATGTATATTAATTATTTAGTTGATTATTTTATTTATTTATTTTATTTTAAACGGCTGTTTATTCATAAAGTGTTTCTGATATTTTATTTTTACCCTTCGAAATATGTTTCAAAATTTTTTTTTATGGTTTGTAAACTAACAGAAAATTTTGAAATCTGTCTCTTCTTTATTCATAAAATGCTCATTTAGCTTCTTTTTCAATACTTTTTTTAGAGTTTTATCCAATAAAATTATATATTCTAATATAATAATATTCAAATATTATTGTTAATTCGTTAATTAATTCGTTATTTAAATGATAATTAAATTAATTAATCAATTAAACTTTTTAATTTAAATTGTGTGAGGTCAACTAATGAATCAACCGGACTAGGTCGAACATGTTATCAAAAGTGATTCATTTTGTGCTTATTTGAAAGACTGATTGATTATATCACATGTGACTGCTACTAATAATTTTTTATTATAATTTTAATCATAATTAATTATAGTTAATATTATTGTCATAATAATTATTATTTCCACGAGAAGTTTGTAAATGGGTTTCTCTGAATCGTTATTGATCAATTAAACACAAGGAGCATCATAAACTATCTATATACATCAGTAAATATTTATGTTTGTGTGTGTGTGTGTGTGTGTGTGTGTGTGTGTGTGTGTGTGTGTGAATATTATGGCTACAATTTCGAAATTATCAATTAATTAATTGATTGATTAAGTTTTAAAATTAAATCACACGGAAAAGTTGACGGTTTTTTGAGTTTTAGTCAGTTTATTTTTATCCTTATTAATGTTTTTTCAATTTTAAATTAATCAATTTTTATTACTTTTGGTTTTAATTAATTTTTCCGATTTATTTATTCTTCATTCTTTTATTCTTTTTTGCCAAAAAAAGGAAGGTCGTCAGCCAGATCTTAAAAAAATTCTCCCCCATGTCGAAAAAATTTGCTATTTAAGTACATATGCGGCCCTTCAAAGATGAAATAGTTTTCAATGCGGCCGGCCCTCACAGCAAAAAGTTTGCCCACCCCTGTATCACACACAAATTAGTTTCGTGTATATCTGTATTTTAATTGATGGGCAGTATGCATTTTACTTCTAATTATAAAGAAATTTTTAAAGGCGTTTAAATGCTAACGTGGAAAGATTCATTTCACTTACTATGTTTATATACAGTTGTTTTTGTTGTTATTTTTCGTCGTACGTTTGTTTTATTATTAAAAGTATTATTATTATTATTTTCATATTGATGTTTTAATTGCTTTGTTTTTTCGTTTTTTTTCCGAATGTTTCAAAATATGTTTTTATGTGTTCGTCTTTCAGTGGGTTATTCTGATCATTCATTCATTCGTTCGTTCGTTCGTTTATTTATTCGTTCATTCATTTATTCATTCATTCATTCATTTGACTATAATTTTCATCGATGCTAAAGATTAACTTGTATGTTTGAACGTTTCTTGGTATTGTGATAATCACAATTTTTCTATATAATTCGACACAGATAAACCTATTATATAAATAGTAATTGTAATATATATATATATATATATATCTGTGTAAGTGTTTGTGTGTGTGTGTGTGTGTGTGTGTGTGTGTGTGTGTGTGTGTGGTGTGCGTTAATTAATTTAATTACCTTTAATTCTTTTAATTTATTCATGATATACGTGTGCACCTTTGATTTTATTTTAATTTTCACTCGTTCATTCATTCATTCATTCATCCATTCATCGTTCATTCATTCATTCACTCACTTATTCATTCATTCATTAATTCGTCCATTTCTCCAGTCGTTCATTCATTCATTCATACGTTTATCTCCGTTTTTGACCAATTTTTCGATATGCAGATAATGAAATGAGATTAGCGATTGATTTTTATAATTGATAATAATAGTAATAATAATAACTAATTGTAAATAACATTATTATTGTATTGTAAATAATAATGTTAATAATAAGAATGAGTTACAGTAAATTATTGTTATAATAATAATAGTAATAAACTATTTTCAATCACATTGGGTCTTGCCTAGCTCAACTGGTAATGTAACTGCATTGCAGCTGATGTACGTGAGATCAAATGCAAGCCCAGTCCTGATAGTAACATGATACCGTGTATGTGCAACGTAAAACAGTGTAGTAATGTGTAACAAAGTTATTTTATGTAATTTGAATTGTAGTTATTTGCCTGATGAATTTGGTGTAGTGTTGTCAGTTAGTTAGTGTGATCTCGTAATCTGACTGGAGGTTATTGGAAGACATGATGTAATGTGTATATAGATATGTTTTGTAATTTAATGTCTTCTGAGACATGTTACGATTCCTTTTGTAACGATTCGACTTATTAATAGCAGTCGTCAGATAAATAATCTGATGTCATATATCTAAGAAGTTTTATTCGAAATTATTTGACAAAAGTGATAATTAGGTCTTATAGGGCATCAATTTCAAAGTTATTTACATGTTTAAAAAAATAAGCACAGCGAGAGAGAGAGAGAGAGAAAGCAGGGTGGAGAGAATCTTGAGATTCTCGACTTGAGAACTGTCGTACATAATATTCTGAATGTGTATCACATAAGTTTGCTTAATATCTGTTATGTCGAAGTGAAAAGAGAAATTTAAGATGATGACTGGGTGCTTAAGCCGGATGGATCAGGAAGTGTGGCGAAACATTTAAAAGAATGAAGTTAGTTTTTACATTCTATTATTCATTCATTGTTTGTTTGGCTGATTGATTATTTAGCTGGTTGATTAGTTGGTTGATTGACTGATTCATTGATTGATTAGCTGATTGGTTGGTTGGCTGATTGGTTGATGGATTGATTGATTGATAGATTGATTGATTGATCAGCAGCAGCACCATCATCATCATTTTCCTGCTTGAAACGAACGTGCAAGCGTATATATTAGCTCTTCCTAGCATCTTTTTTCATCACTCTTTCATTCATTCATTCATTCGACTCTTTATATACATACATACATACATTCATACATACATACATACATACATACATACATACATACATACATACATACATGTTTTTCTTACATACATACATACACACATGCATGCACACATACAATTCACAATATACTCACAAATTTTTGTAAATTTTCAACTCAAAAAATGGATCTATATAATATTGTTAAAATAAATTTTAACATTTCCAACTAAAACTTAAAAACTATGGAAGCTAAAAATGTGAGTTAAAATTATCATTATTAGTAGTAGTAGCAGTAGTAGTAGCAGCAGTAGTATAATTATTATTATTTTATTCGAAGATTAATCATTTCGTAAATTATCTTTAATGTGTTATTATCTATAATAAGGCCAAACCCAGAATTTTAATAGATATATTTATGGCATTTCCGTTATATTAAATTTAGGCCATTCAGCTTAGCTAGAAATTAATTATTTGATTTCAGGGTTTTTGGTAATAATTAACGTTACATCATGGCAACATGAATATAATTTATAAATCGGCATAGAGTGTATTTGAATTGAATTTTAGGAAATATTATAAATTTTCAATTATTAATAAAGATGATGCTTAAGAAGATTTAATAGTAGTAGTAGTAATAGTAGTAGTAGCAGTAAAAGTAGTAGTAGTAGTAGTAGAGGTACTAGTAGTAGTTGCAGTAGTAGCAATAGAAGCAGTAGTAGAAGCGACCAATTTTTGTCATCATCGACTAATGTAAACAGACATAACACACTCACACACACACACACACAAACTCACATTCACTTAAACACACAATCAAATACATATACTCACACATACACACACATATTTTACAATAAAAACAATGCGATTGTAGCGACACGTATCAATTACGATCATTCCAAACCGAAATTTGTTTGCGGCATATTATAAGGCCGTTTATAATTTTGTGGCAATTTCGATCATTTTGTTGTTGGTGCTGTTGTTGTTGTAGTAGTTGTTGTTTGTGTTGTTGTTGTAGTAGTTGTTGTTTGTGTTGTTGTTGTGGTTGGCTTCAATTTTAGAATACTACAATTTATTTAGCTGTTGTTGTTGTTCCTGTTGTTGTTGTTTGGTTATGGTTTTTGTTGTTGTTGCTGTTGATATCATAAACTTCATCAGCATCATCATTATCACAAACTACACACACCACACACATACACACGCGCGTGCAAACACACGCACATAAACACATACTCATACAGAAATCCAATTTGGAATCAACATTTCTGAAAGCAATAAGCAGCGGGGACCTCGACGAAGTTATCAAATGTTTGAAGAAGAATGTTAACACGAACTGCAGAAATTCTGTAAGTTCTGTTGTTAAGAATGACAAAAGGTATGATGTTTTAATTGCTTTGATGCGATGATGTTGCATTTATTGCCGATGATGATTTGCAATTTATTTTGATACAAAATTAAATTGAAAAGATGAATTGTTTGTGAAATAAGACAACATCAGACAACATCACAGACAAACACATTCAACATCACAGACTAACACATTCAACATCACAGACAAACACACAACATCACAGAAAAACACATACCACCGCACAAGCGCAAAACACACCCAACTCATAATTCATCCCGCCTTTGTATATTTTCCATGAAATTGAAAACAACAACAGCAACAACTTCACTGAAACTTTACTTGAACAACTGAAAAAAGTATATTATACAAATACACGTACTATGGGTATATACATACATACACATTAATAATCTCTCTTTCTCTCTCTCTCTTTTTCTCTCTCTTTTTCTCACAAACACACACACTCTCTCTCTCTCTCTCTCTCTCTCTTTCTCTCACAAACACTTTTTTTTCTCTCTCTCTCTTTTTCGCTCACACACTCACTCTCTCTCTCTCTCTTTTTCTC